AGACGTGTTTGCAAAGGTAAGTTCTCCAGTTTCAGCAAAATTGAATGTATATTGGGGTAAGATTTGTGTACATTCCGTGACGTACGGACGTGAATATTATGATGATTGGCAGCCTTATATTCTTGTGAAAAGCTAAAAAAGCAAACAATTATCTCCAATCTACGAAATTAGTTGGTAAATTGTATACCCTGTCAAATTATTGTACATGGGGACATAGTTTTCAAGTAAATCGTTATCCGATCTTTTGCTTGTGTCGCAATTTCCGAAATATCCACAACTCGAGGGGGGGGGGTGTCCCTGTGTCGATCAATTTATTCATTATATAATAGTAGGTTGCCTATGATTATATTCGTATTTTTTATGTTGTCAGCATTAAACTGTTAATGAAGATTTTGCCGATCTCCTGCGATTCAACATAGCAGATGTACAGTGACAACACATGTATGGACGGTCGGTCATTTCTGTTAGCAGTGTTAAATTATTCTTTGAATGCTCAGTTTATTTTTTGAAAACAACTAATTTTTGGATTTAAAAAAAAAAATCATGCCGTTTTCCCAGTCAAAATCAAAGCATAAAGATTTTGCTACAGCATCGGTGAATCTCTACAGTACCGCGTTGCGTTCACCACGAGGTCACTGAACCGTCATTAACATATTTAGATGAGCCACGTGTATTGAAAACATGGCGAATATCGTATTGCATTGACCGAAATCATTCGTTTACGATGAAACTAAGTTGAATATTACTTCCAATTCATAAAAATTCAACGAATTAATTTTTTGTGCGTTATTATAATCATTACTGATTAATAATCAACAATTGCAATACTTCGAAAATAAGTAAGTTATTCACTTGCGAAACACAGTTGGACCAGATTGTGCTACCGTGATCATTTGCTACTGGTACTAACCACTAAGCAATGTATTCGTGTTTGTATTTATTCGAAACTTCTTTTAGAACAAACTTTACTTTTCGTTATCAACGAAATTATAAAAAAATAATGCATAGTACATTATGTGAATTTTTTGGGGGGATTCAATTTCAACATTTCGCGGTGCCTATGAACCAAAGGCCTTTCATTCTTCTCTGAGTGTGACACCTAAACCAGAGGTTTTATGGTGTATATACTGGCACTAAATGAAAAGGCCGTTGAACCTTATTCAAATTTATAAGTACATGTTATTATGTATTTCATTATGAAAACTGACTAAATTAAATGTGATCTTATTTTTAATTGTTTGAACAGAATGATTTATATCGGTAATGACGTTTTCATCCAGTATTGTGCAATTGTTAAAATGCCTCCCTACACATTTATTGTTTTTGTTTCTGAAATAGACATTTGTAAAAAAAAAAAATTAAAAAATCATGCTTGATTAAAATTAAAAAAAATAAAGATGTAGCCATATAGCCCCATTCTGTTATCTATTTCCAACTTCTTCCAAAGTAAAACCGGCGAAGGCATGTAGTTGCCATACAATCATCAATTGTTGGAAAACTTATATGTTATTGAAAATCTTTATTTTGTTGTCTGTGAATTAATATAATATTTGAAATGACGTAATTGTGCAAAATATTCTCAAACAATCGGTCTTCTGGTGGCACTACAATGAACATTTATGCACAGTCAGTATCCCAATGCACGATCTCAGCTTACTAAGTGATGATGGTGGTTGAAATGGAAAACTGAATACAAAAATCAGTAACATCTCATACGAATTTCCGTCTGCTGTGAATGCATGTTTTGTTGCATCAAATAAATAACCCAATTTCATGATAGAAGCTTGCGATCTTGTGCCATAAAGGGTCAAGGGATTGAGCAATAAAAAATGTGGTATCAGGTCATTGAATGTATCCAAAAACATGGTACCAATGATCTGAAATATCTAGAGTGCTCGCTGAAGGTTTATCAATCCTCGGCCACTCTCAAAAACAAATATTTTTCCATGGTCGAAATGCAAGAAGACTACAAAACTACTGTGATTGCATAGCAATACCTGTCAATTAGTTCGCCTGATCAACACAGTGTTATACATAGGGCTGATATTGAATCACGGAGAGTCAAATCTTGTGATACTAATTTCTAGAACCACTCAGATTGATACATATGTCTTATGAATCCACATGTGTATATCTTTGACAATACTCATTTTAAACTTTTTTTTTTTTTTTACAGTGGTGCTGTGAACTGCTTCAATTTCGCAAGGCAATTTTTTCTGGGTTCCTACAACATGGAGTGTCAGGAACTTTATTGAAATGTTGTACACAAATTTCATAAAATCCTGAATATATCTAGAAGTGAAAATTAAATGGTTTGCAGTATTTTATACCCATTAATAATTATTGAAATGCAATAATATCACTGCACTAAAAAAGACTTCGAACAATTATTGTTACTTCTCCATTGAAGGTTATGAGCAGACCAACCTTTATCACTACTGGCTTTCTTAATTATTACATGTACTTGCTCTGAAAACATAGCTTTTACAATTGTTTAAATTAACAGATGTATGTACAATGAATACATTTTAAATACTAAACCTTACTGTGTTAATAACAAATTGTATTTGACAACATGAGAATGATTCTGATGCCCAGTGGTGATGTTGAAACAAACCCAGGTCCTGGTAATATACTAAGACCTGATTAACAAAGAAGTCATGTACATCAAGGTTCACTCAGATTTATGAATGCAGTTTCTTGAGCAAGTATACATGTATGACAAATAGTTTTGTTGCACTTGTGTACTCTGAGATTCTGAACATGTGTCTGTGGAAGTTTTTAGTTTTCAGTACAAAACTAGATTATGGGAAATCACTTTATGATGAGTTGTACCCACAAAGAGTACATATTTATTCACCTGTTTGCAGCTGTTCCTTGTACTACCTGTACTTTATAATCAAATAACGGGGACTGTGACATTTCATGTCTTGTTAATTAAGTGTTTTTATTACTCATTATTTATATGAATTTTAATAGTTTGTCATATCTTAGAATCCATCTGTTGCATATAGAATGTCTCTGTTGTTTGCATATAAGGTTCATTCTGTTGTGAAATGTTCTTCATCTTAAATTTTGGCACAGTTCTGCTTTGTAGTGGTATTTTAGGTTTTTGATGACGACCAGTTTCAATATTCAGTTTGTGGCAACTAATTCTAAATAGCAAATGTACCTATTGCTTAACTATCATACATAGTACCACCTCGATCTTCGTATATAAGGACATTCAAACATTGGAACTACCGTTAGTGCGAATACATTTTGAAACGAATGTTGATACGTCTTTATACAGACCAATCAATTCTATTGTTTTCAATGGTAAAGCACTACACATATCAACATTAAACAGTTGGATATTTATGATCAACTCAGTGAGTCTCAACATAGAATGAGTGTGTATGTTCCAGGGCAACAGCCTTCCACACCATGCATGCACATTTAGGTTTTATACATTAAACAAGCTATAATAAGTAGTATCACATATTGGTGGTATACTGCATGTTATTTTGATGCCTTTCTGAAAATATAATCAGTATTTCCACTATCCATATGCAACATAATACCATCTATTTATTTGAGTTACAACCATTTAAAATACTGTAAAAGCATTTATTTTTGCTGGTATTTAATTTGAGCATATTCACCGGGTTTTAAATTAACAATATATTTGTCAGGGAAATAATGAATTCTATTGAAATTTTACATACCGGTAGATTTAATTTAGTGGAATTTTCTTATCATAAAAAAAAAAAATTAAAACCCAGTGAATAATTAATGTATTTACAGTACTGAATAATTTCCATATCCCAGAAATGTCAGGTCAAGGTCATGGAGTACTGTCAATGCTCACATGA